TTAATAATATGTATCATTATGAATTTATGTATATATTCAAAATATAATGGTATTACAATCCGGGAAAGTGAAAGAAAAAACAAACAAACAAAAAAAAAAAAAGTGATGTTAATCTCACCTGCAATGGATTTTCAAAATGAAAGTCCTTAATTTTACCCACTTTATTAAATTACTTTTAAAATTGTATCTATATCTCTCGATCAGAGTCGTAGCTAGGGTTTTCAGCGCCTAGAGACAACTGAAGATTTCGCGCCCCCTAGTGCTTGCCAAGGATGAAAAATGTCGTAACATCAGTTTGGCGCCCCTTGGATTCTGCGCCCGGGGACAGATACTCTCCCTTGCCCCCCTCTAGCTACGCCCCTGCTCTCGATCTATCTATCTACCTATATATGTATGTATATAATAAATAAGAGCTGAGAAATTTCAAATTATGATGATTGATATTATTAATTTTTATATTGATGATTATCAAATCGAAAAAAATTAATTTGTTTTATTTCACTTTTAAAACGCTTTAATTATCTTAATTTTAAATACATTTTCTTAATTGACATTTTCTGTAATTTTTCAAAAGTATCCAGTTTTAAAAATCATTAGATTTAGTTCAGAAAGGTGGCTCTGTTCAAAATTCTTCGGTTGCTCCTTGAAAAAAGATCAAGGAATTTTCAGTAATTTTTTACAATTTTATATTGTTCAGGTTCAATAATTAAAAAAATTTTTTTTTGCATTTTGAAATGCTTATGTTTTTGTTTTGTGTACTGGCTTTTGGGCATCAGCCCACCTGTCGTAATTTATTTTTTCGTTACTTATATACATATAAATTATGCGATGTCATAAGCAAAGATTTAATGCGTAGAGTTCAACGATATCCGAAATTCGAAGTTCGAAAAGAAATAGTAAAGATATCAAATAAAATTGCATTATTACTGTACGTCAACAGCACGGCGAAGTCGTTGTAACATTGCAAAGATGTCATACTATGACGATCAAAATGTACAGTGACGTTGTAGGTAACGTAATGTAATATACAAATGTGCTGCAACCGTCCTGGCCGATAATAATCGGACTTCGGTTAACACAGCTCGTCCAACACGGATTAAAAAAAAAAAATAAATAATTGTAACTTTCAGATTTTATACTGTATTTTTAACGTTTATTTTACCTTTACTTATTAAATATCATGTTCTTCGTACTTAAACCATAAAAGTCAATTCAACAGCAATAACACACAATATTTAAAGAGCATATCTTTAGAATTTCCGATACAGTCTCACGCGCTGGAGATATTTTTTTTTTCGTACAGTGTTGCAATTGATCGCTTTGAAATCATTGAGTTTGTTAATCAAAAATTCATTTAAGTTTTACAAAATATAAAACAGATAATAAAACAAATTCCAGATTCCAAATTTGGCCTTCCAGATTCGTGTGGAGGACTACGATATTCAAAAATTGATGTCTCCAGGTTCCGTTGTTTTTGTCACAATGCGAGAAACATACATTCATGCAGATTCTTCCTTATTTAATTTCTTTAAATATTATGGAGGGCTGCAATATTTGGTGGCAACAGTTTGAAAACCGAAACGCTGTTTTATACCGGACGACGCAAAATGCCAAAACGAAATTAATAGCCCTTCTGAGTAAATTGCCCCTTTGGGCTACAAGTGATATATATGACGTTGTAGGTATGGCTTAATGTCCTCTTTTTGTGACATTACATTGCTGCGTTTGTGCGACGTCACACTGCGACGATTATATGATTTCGTATTGTGACATTAATGTGAAGTCACATAGGGACGTTGATTTGAAGTCATATTGTGACGTTGTTTTTGAAGTCGCTCTCTAATGTGTAATTACGCTGCGACATTATTATGAAGTTACACCGTGACATTATTGTGAAGTTATACTGCGACGCAGTTGTAAAATCAAAGCATACAATAAAGTCGGAGCAGAGTTTTGTAAAGTAGATTAGCAACTAAAGCCTTCATCGTTAATATTTATTTCTTTAAGCTTTAAAAAAAACAGTACAGGAAGACGAAGCATGGTGAAATAGGAAACCTTCTTGTCAGATTTTTTTCTACACAAGCATAACTCTTCGATTTTTTTTAAAACACATTCATATTGCCTTCATTGCTATATATAGCATGGATAAGCAATTAAGCTTCCAAAAGCGAATAAGCAGCCTCTACTCTTTTATTCAAAGAAAGAAGTTACGCATTTTTATATATTATATTTCATAAGCAAATAAATCCAGTTTGCTCTTGAACGCTCTGAATTTTGCATTTTAATGATGATTTATGTGAATTTTTGTTGCTGGAAATTAAGAACAGCGAAAGGAATAGGGATAGATTTCAGACGGATTGCTCGCACTATTGATCTGAAAAATGTTTTAGAGAGTACAAATACCTTTAAACATTGCCTTTAGAAATAGCGGATTTTTTTTAATAGACGTGATTTTCAAATTCAGATTTTCAAATTTTCAGATTTATGTGATTTTCAAAATCTAAAAAATATGTTGAAAATAAACCAAAATTTCTTTTGGTTACTTTACTAATGTCTAGTTGTTTAGTATAAAGTGCTATGACAGAAGTTTAAATCAGTTTTGTAAACGGATTTCACTTCTTATGCGATATCCATAAAAGTCTTATTTATCGAACTTCATCCTGTTTTCGTGCGTTTCTTCGTGTTTTTCGTTCGTTTTCCGTGTTTTGTTTTTCGTGTGTGTTTTTTGTGAAGTGAGTGTAATGCTACTTGTTGGTTGCTCTTCTAAAGCAGGTTTCCTGAAAAACAGCACTTTAAGACAGCTCTTCTGTTTTAGTTTTTGTACTAAACTTAAGTTCATGTTAAATTTGTGTCTATACGAAGCAAGTTATGGTTACAGAAAGTAGCTTATAGTAGTCAAATAGCTTAAGATATTTCTTACGTAATACATTTCAAGTTAAACACTTAACTTAACTAACAGAAGCATACCTCTAAATAAGTAATAGGGTGTGTAATGTCATCTCTCATTCACATGTGTAATCAAAGAATATGAAGAATAAAATTCAATTAACTTAGTAAAAAGAAAATGAGTAAACAGGAAGGTAAGCTCTAAAACAAAACACATGTGTGTTTTCTCCCTAGGAAAGAATGAACTCAAACTCATAGGAGTTTTCTAAAAACATTGATTCACATTTACAGTAGGCACTAGAAAAGCAACATCTCTACTATAGCTGATTGATACGTGTCTAAGAATCGAATCTAGAATGCGACTGTCGGTTTATTCTAAATATTCAATCAGAGAAAAAAAAAAAAAAAAAAAAAAAAAAAAAAAAAAAAGCTGCAGGAGCTTTTTATCATACAGTTATAATGTATCATGCAGTTACTTTTTATCAAAGAATGCAATAATTTTGTGTGTCAATTTTTTTAAAAATCCTTCAGTAGCATCAGTTACTATTTTTAATTACTAATAATTGACACTAGTCACAGTTACAAGCCTAGTATATAAGTGGCACCATTACATTCACGGTATGCATATCTTCCTCATTCGGTCTTTAAAGGTTTTAAAAATAATTTTGCCTCCCGTCTAGATCTTGAAATTTAATGTTACTTGGTGTGATATGCGGCTCATCATATCGAATAAAATTAGCACTTCGAAACATTTTTTAATTCCAAATAAGAATAATATTTAGAAACGATCAAACTTTTCGGAAACAAAAACAAGACTCGATTTTGTCCTCTCCATAACAGCACGCATGAAGGACTACGGTAACTCCCAGAAGATGACGTTTGAAAATCGAACTTTGGCATACTCATATGCACATAAAGAAAAACGGTTTGTATTATATTAAGAATAAGAACAGTAGAACATAGTTATCTCAACTGTATGTCATCAGCTGTCGTTCTACTGTTGTTGATATTAATATTTAGCAGTTATTTTTTCGTACGTATTTGATGTGATTTCTTTATGAGACGATGGAAGGTGACTCACTTTTATAACATGAGTGACTATATTTTTGCGGGAACAGCTTTTCCAACACTTGAAGAATCTTATCCTCTAAAGAGGAAAAGCGTTTTGGTTTACACAGGTAATAATCATCTTCCTAGTCATTCATCCCGGACTAAATCGGCTTGAATTTTACATCGAAGTTCCTATGCGCGAAATACTTAGTGAATTTTGCAATGGCAGGACCTTATTCACCTCGGTAACATGTGCCAAGAAATGTAAATTGTTATATTCATAGCAAAGTACAACAGCAAAATTTTTTTAATTGACGTTGAAATGTTTGTTCCCGAAATTTCTTTTCGAGTGAATGATAACAGTACTGTAGAGGAAATATTTAACGCAATAAAAATTAGAAAGGTCATTATTAGCTATGCTAATAAGGGTCAATAATATTATTAAGAATAATGCAGATTGTTTTAAAATCTATAAGTTTGGTATAAGTAATGTATTGTTATAATTTGAGAGACATGGAAAGCCCATTATATCGCATAGTTTGACAAAATCCCTGAGATTTGGAAATTTGACTTCCTCATGTGTTTGAAGTAGCAAGATGAAAATAACGGAAGACGATTTAGTAGTACAACGTGACACGACAAATAGGAAGAGTAGTTTGGTAACATTAAAGGTTTCTGCAATCGAATAAACGGAAAAACTGAAATTTTGAAAATTAATTTCAATTCTCACGTAAGATGTAAAATGTTTAACTCACGAATTAATGTGTAAAAATTTCAGTGACCCGAATTCTAGTTCATTTAGTCCGCGGCGCTGTACGTATGAAGAAAGAAAATGTGTTATCAGAAACAGGTATCGAAAAGCTATTTTGTTAGCTTTTGAAGGCAAAGCATTAATAGCAAGCACTTTAAAACTTGTTAGTTGAAATCCTTGATATTTGGGCCGATTTTCATTTGCTTAGATGACGATTGTATTTTTAAATCGTTTTCAGACTCACGTGGAGACTGATTTAGCAGTTTGTTATTTGAAAATTCAAAATATAATGTTTTTAATTTTTTAGGTTTGAATGGTAGCAGGCCAACGAGTGGTTGCCAAGCTTCACGACGGCGAATTCTACTACGTCTGCGCAGCGCCCGCAAGCGTCCGAAGCTGTATTTAAGAACTGGTCTCCATTATACGAAAATACAGATCAAGAGCATAGTATGAGTTCGTATTATACTAATTCTTATATACCTGACCTCAGGAGTCCAGCAGGGGTCGAACAGTACAATGGACAACAAGTTCACAATCAACCGAATGGTGATTTGTGTGATCAAGGGCAAAGACAGTATATTCAGCCGCAATATGCATCTTCGCCAGTGCAAGGGGCAACTTATCCTCGTTTTCCCCCTTATGACAGACTGGAGATTCGTCCGATCACCTCGTCGCCTAATTCACCTAGCCCCCCGGGCCAGTATTACGGGAATCCTTGCAACCAAGCACCTCCTGGACCTCCTCTTCCTCAGCCGGCACATCAACCGCCCCAACATGCACCTATGAACCATCCAAACGCATATGTACCGCAGGATGGACAGAATAATTGTCGGGGGTCACCTCATCACGACCCCAACGGTTCACAGCATCCAAACATGTCACCAGCTCAGTATCCAAGCTGCAAAATGCAACCTCAACCGGTTCCACACGGACCGCCCCATCAACAACAAGCTCTAGGTCACGACCCCAACGGGGTGGTCCATCGACAGGTGAATTCGGAATGTGGACCGCCGCCCCCTCCGCCGCCCAATACCATGCCCCCGTGCCAAAGTCCGGTTCAGTCCCCGCAACAACCGCCTCCCCAGATGTACCAGAATCACGGCGGCCCCCCATCCAATCAACAACAAGTTCAACAACAGCAACAGGTTCAACCTCCTCAAGCTGGGAATATGCCCAGTCCGCTCTATCCATGGATGAGGAGTCAGTTCGGTAAGTCATTTCTTATTCGTTTTCATCTTTAGACTGAAACTAAAATGTTAACTTTATTCTGATGAAAAATTACACAGCAGAAAAGTGGTCGAGTGCATATAATTTTTTCTTATTCTATAACAGTGTGTGAAAATGTGCTTATACTTACTCAATTTTCGAAATACGATTTAGGTCATCGTTTCATAACAAATAGTAAAATATAAATATTTAAAGACCATTTTTCTCTCAAAAAAGATAAATAAATAAGCTATAAAGAAACTAATTGTTTTCGTTAATGAATATTTTTCTAACTTTACAAAATAACGAAAATATAAAACTAATACTTTAAATTTTTATACTTATCCGATTTATTATTTAAGAGGAGCATAGGCTCCTTTCCTGCTGTGATGCACGTATATTTTTCATCTTTGATGAGGACTGGATTTTAAAAAAAAAATGTTAATGTTAAAAATTTATTATTTTTTCAGTCTTTTTCTTTTTGTTTATGTCAAATTTAGGAAAATAAAAATTTAAATAGCAGTGAATCGATAATTTCAGAAAATTCTACAATGCAAATTTTAATTTATTGCTAATTTGAGGATTTTTAACCTTACTTCATTCGCTTCTGAAATTGATTCTGTTTACTGAAAACAATTAAGTGTATTTTATATAATCATGTAACCTGGTCTCCCATCTAAATGTCTATTAGAAATAGCAGTCGCTGTGTTATTCAATGTGCTCAAGTTTTGTGTCTTTTTGTTTGCTTTTTTGATTTGATACATTAATTTTTAACTTGCATTTTATTTTAATTGCCCGAAATTTTTATTTTGTTCTCTATTTTTGAGTTTTGTTACTTATTTTTTTTTTTGTAATTTTTTTTTTGTAGTGCTTGTTTATTATTTCGTAAAACTATCATCATAAATGATTTGGGCCATAAACAAATCGTCAGTATATTGAGATTTTAGAAATATATACAAAAATAAGACATTTAAAATTTAATTAATGTCTTAGCTAATCTTAATTTGCAATATTTTTTTTAAAGTATAAATTAAGAAAAATAGTTTCGGTTGTTTATTCATAGAAACTTTTATAATATATTAGTAAAAACATCGTGCGCTCTTTAAATTACGAATTGTTACTGTTTTTAAATATTACAGTCAAGTTAACTGCAACTATATGGAGTAGGTTATTGACAATAGTTTTATGTTACTTTTTTGTGGCATTTTTTAAAATGATAATGTTGAAGAAATTTCACTATAAGCCAGTTATCGTTACTAATTTAAAATCCTTCGAACTGTGCGACTAAACAGATACAGCCGAATACAATCATTAGTTAATATTGAAATAATTATTTTTCGATAAAAATGAATTGAATTTTTATCAAAATTTTGAATATTTTTACGAACGTGGTTTTCGAAACTAAATATGAATTTACTAAACTAAATATAAATAATTAGTAACATATTATATAGAAATATATTTATTTTTATATATTATGACTGAGGATATAATGTTAATCATGATTATTGAAATACAGGTTTTTATTAATACACATGAAAAAGTTTCCCTTTAAAGGGAGTGTGAAACAGATGTGTCGAGGTAGAAACTTGCTTTTTAAATATATGCTTTTTTTTGTGTGTGTGTGAAAAATAGATACGTATGCAGTAAAGATATGCTTTAGGTTAGTCCTCAGTTTCAGAGAATTTTTATTATTATATTTTATTAGTATTAAGAAAAGAAGGTATTTTAATAGTAATACTAGAAAATATCTTAATACGATAATAGGTTAAATAATAGCTCTAAAATAAATAAATAAGAATAATGTGTAAATACGTAAAAAATTAAACCTAATTTAAGCCAAATTTGTTAATTTTATATGGTGCACAAAATAATGCTTTTAAAAAATACAAAAATTTAAGGAAAAATGCATTATAATTTCTTCACTTTACACTTTATAAATAAAGAAGTGTGTACTTAATAAAGAAAATTATTTTCTGGCTTAATACTTTCTGTGCTAAGAATTAGGCAAAAATAAGAATTTGAGATTCTGTTTTCGTTAACATGTGCAAAATCTTAAAAGGCGGTGAAAATCATAACTATATTTCTACACATTCCACTATATTCCTTATAATTACGATGCATCTATATTTACTGTAAAGTTTTTATGGTCACTTTTAACGTATGAATATGAAAAATACTGATTTAAATTATTTACTTTTGCTTGTAAATGCGTAATGGCTAGTGATAATGCGCTGAATGAAAGTAAAACTAGGAAAAATTATATATTGCTCGTGAAATGCACTAATAAAATAACTCAGTATGCAATTTATTAAATATTACTTCTACCCATATCTACATTTATAATTTTCTCTTTTTCCACTCAGCTGTATTTAAATGCTCTTAGATTATAACAAAATCTAAAGTGAACAAGCAGCCAAAGATAAAGTTTACTGAGTTTTAAAAAGAACTCTTGCAAAATTTCAAGTAATATTAACAAAAAATTATATGTATGATTTTTAAATCTAACGTACAGAGTAACTTTCTTTTGAATTCCTTTCTGAATATTTTTTTGATGAGGATGTTTAATACAAGAGAAGTTAGTTATCGAAGAAGAAAACATTTATTTCTGGAATGTAGAATACACAGTATGCTTTTCATAGTAGTTTGAAATCCACATTTATAAATTAATCTGCAGTTTATATATGTAGTAGGCTTTCGAACATGCAAACTCGTGCGGGCTGGGAAAAAAAGGGGAGGGAGACTTCCGAAATTCTAAAGCTTAATAGTGGGAATATCCTTAAAAGTTTTTCTGAGCGATAGTTAATAAAAATTCCCGCTTCATAAACTAGAGATTCGAAAAACATAGTTTATTTTAATTCCTTTAATTCCTTTTTTTTTAAAACTTTTTTTTGGCGGGGGGTAGTGTTGATGAAAATTCTGAAGTAAGTTGCTATTTGAAAATACTTTTGCTTAGTTCAGTTTGCTTAATTAAGCTGAAGAAAATTAATAAACTATACAGTGCAAGAGGGACTTAAGTACCTCTTTATTTTATCCTCACAAATAAAGCTTTTGGGAAATTTGACAGCTTGTAGTTTGGATTATGTGATACTTTGAAATACTTGGAATTTTCCAAAATACTGTTAGCTGCAAGGGCGGACGGGATGAAATTTAAAGATTCTTATAAGCACAATGTGAACGGTACATTGATTATACGAATTTTACCTGGAAGAGTAATTATAGCTAGCCGGGTTTGCATTTTAATTTGGGCCTGAAAAACTGCTGTTGGCAAAGAAGTAATTTTATTTTGCGTTTTGAAAAATTTCTTGTTTTCTTCCTTTTGCAAATTACTTCACTAATAGTGTAAGTAGCGCTTTCGATGCACTCGAAGATGTGCAAACTCATGCATGATGCAAAGGGAAAACACTTCTTGTTCATTAGGTACCAATCTTTCAGCTTTATGACAAATATAAAATTAAAAAAAAAAAAAAAAAAAAAAAAAAAAAAAAATGAAAGAAAGTCTGTACATATACATTTACACGTATTTTGCATTGAAAAATTTTGGATTATAAAAGAAAGAATTATGGCGAGTTGTATCAGTCTTTTGCATCTTAAGAAATGAAGAGGAAAAATAAACAAACAAGCAAATAAATAAATAAATAAAAATAAGTAAAGAAGAATAATTTTACATTCTAGGTAAAATTTTATAGCGTTATTTAAGAATAAAATTCCATTTAAAGCTTTAAACTTTTCTCTATTTTCTTGTTAAATTACTGTTTTTTTTTATTCTTTAAAATAAAATTAACTTTATCAATTCCCAGCTACAGCCAAATTTCAAATCAGATTCTATTTAAAAGGAATGTTTCTGAATAAACTGTTTTACTAAAATAAACAACTGATGTGGATTAATTTTTTAAATAAATTTCGATCGTTATATTCAATTAAAATGAATTTTATAATAAATCATATTGCTTCCAGGAATTTTTTTTTTTTTTTTTTTTTTTTTTTTTTTTTTTTTAAATTTGGAATAGAGAAAATAAAATGACCAATAAAAATTTTAGAACTACGTTGTATAAATATTAGAGAATTTACAGAAGAATTATCTCAATAAGTGAGGAGTACTTCGAAAAGTTTCAGAAAATAAATTGCTCATTTAATAATCACATGTATTGTTGAATAGATTTTCCATTACTTATGAATTAATCGTACTTTTGTCTCATTAGCGAGCAAGTGTCAATGAGGTCAAGCAATCTAAATAAATTTTGAAATTTTCAGCTGTCTTCAGAGGTGTATTTAAGGCATTCAGAGGTGTATTTAAGGCTTAATGCATGAGGCACTTAAGATTTTGAAGGAATGTTTTACATTTTTGGTATCACCGTAATTTATTTAAATTGTCCCAATAATGATTATTTTATCTATCGGCATACGCATCAGCATCGAAGTATTTGTTTTAAATTCTTCTTTGGAGCACTTTTATGATTTGTTTTCCCGCATTTGCTGCAGAAATTAGCTCTACTCTCTCAAGCATTCATCCCTGTAGCAATACAAGGAGAAAATATTGCTTGAAACATTAGCGCTGCAACAAAATATTGACAGAATTTGTGAATATGACAGGTTACTCATTGCTCTTGATCAATCACGTACAATTTTGAAGTATCTTGAGATCGATAATTTGTTCAGGCACTTATTAACCTTCTTCTTCCACTTCCGAAAACTATCTGGAAATATTTTCGGTTATTTATATTTATACGAGAATTGAATATTTTTACTTTGGGATATAGAAATGTTTCTTTTTCGACTTCAAATAATAAAATTGTAAATTAGGCATATATTGAGATATTTCCAATTCCCTGACTGAACTTACGATAATTCTCCCCCTTTTTTAATGATATGGCAAATATTTCTCTAAACAATGGATTGATAAATATTTTGAGCATATGAATGAAAGATAAAGAAAATGAAAAAAAATTCTAACTTTAATTCATAGTAGACCCTTAAGTCTGGTTTTTAATATGATTATTTCT